GCCTATTCCCAAGCCCGCCTGGACGCTCAGTGCTTGCTGAGGCGCTGCATCAACAACGCGGAGACCGTGCAGCGGATCATCTACATCGCCACCGTGGTACGCGCCGCACCTGCTGCGGGCTTCCTGCCGCCGCGGGGGCAGCGGGGAGAGGGGTTGGACGAGCCTCGTTTAAAGACCTTCAGATCCCGGGGTCACCGAAGGGGAGGAGATTCCATAGTCTCCCCATTTGTCTCCTCCCCCACCTCCCGGTCCTTCACTCCCTCCCCCATTACTCATTTATTTCCTATAGCACCTACAAGAACGGATACTCAGAGATCCCCAACAGTGCCACGTTGGACTGATCTTAACCGCACAACCTTGGACCTTCCTTCCCCCTTCCTCCCTTCCTGCACACAGGACTGTCTCCAGCAGGACTGCACGGTAGACCGGCTCCGGACCTGATGCACACACACAGTGAATGCGTTATTGCTAGTGGCGCTCAGTTGTTTTTTTTTTTTTTGGCCAGGCTGGTTTGAACCCACCACCTCCGGTATATGGGGCCGGCGCCCAACTCCTTTGAGCCACAGGCACCACCCGTGGCTCTCACTTCTTAGAAAAATCGGAAGATTGTGATTGTGTTTATTTAACGTCTGTTTATTTAACTAAGAGTGGTTACTAAAACTTCTACCATATCAGCTACTAGAGCATGGCAGATTTTAAAAGTACACATATCGAAACCTTAATTTCCAAAGCAAATATGTTTGTTCTGTGGGTGGGTACCATGTTGAGATACTAAGAGTTCATAATAAGAATCATTAAATATTAAGAAATAAAGCACTGGCTCCAAGGAGTAGGGCTCCAGCCCCAGCCCCGGCCAAAAACTGCAAAAAAAAAAAAAAAAAAAAAGCATTGGTATGAAGGCAGAATTATCAGAAATACTGAACTTTGTCCTTTCCTGTATTTATTCATTCACATTGGGGCCTGTGGGCCATATCTGGACCTGGTCAGTATTTCTAAAAGAAATATTCCCTGAGAGATAAGAATGAAAGAATGGTTTTACAGTTTAACAGAATTTTTAAAAAATGTGACAGAGACTGTATGTAGCCTAAAAACCCTAAAACTGAAAAGCCTAAAATATTTACTATCTGGCTCTTTGAAGAAAAAAAAAATGCCAACCCCTGGTTTATATAATTCAGAATCACTCACTGAGTTGATTAAAACTCTAAGTGTAGCAACCGAATCTTGCATAACTGTGTTTCCCCAGTGGACACCATACAGTAGGTATTTAATAAATATTTGCTGACTTAATCTGTGGCAGGAACCATGACCAACTCTTGATGTGTGTACCCTGGAGTGATAATTTTCTCTCGGTTCGTGGGCAGTTACATGATATTACTGTGGGCTCATAGGAGAGGTTTGTTTCTTTGAATTCTGCACTGTCCCACTTCCTGCACTCAGAGTTACCAGAACAACGGTCAACTGTTTTAAAAGTAGTGAAAACAGGGGTTGTCATATACTCATTTATCTCTCAAAATGTTAGAGATTTGTTTTGACTGTGTTTGGCTACCAAGGACCAGTGATGCAATGTTGACTTTTGCATCCTTTCTAATTCCTTCCTTTGAGATTCTTTAGCTACCTCTTCCCACCAAGTAAATCTGCTTGTTTTCTGTGGGCAGGAGGCGTTCCACGTAGCTAAAATGGCATTCAGACATTTCAAGATCCGTGTGCGGAAATCGTTGACGCCGTCTTACGCTGGGTCCAATGACTTTGAGAATGCTGTTTCAGATTATGTCGTTTGTCATCTTGATATGTATGATCCCCAAAGCAGTGTCAATGTAAGTGTTGGGTCTCTCATTTGCTGCTACGGTTTTACAGGGAATCCTGATCACCCGGAACCCATCCAATAGTTAGTACTGATTCTACTACTATATAATGGAGTATAGGACCAGCATTCAATTTGACTTTGTAGCACCCACTGTTACTGGCTGTTTCTTTATATTATAGGGGAAATACAGTCCTAGCTTGTTTAGATGGGCTGTTAAGACTGGGAGATAGAGCCAAGGGCTTTGGGAAATTAAGTGTGGGTTTGCTTCCTGACCCTTACACACTGACTAGCTGTATAATCTTACATGTTTACTTTAGTTTTCTAAGCTTTATATGGGAGCAACAATGGCCATTACCCTACAGAGTTATTGAGAAAAATTGATGAAAGAAAGCAGGTAATCTTAGAATAGGACTTGGCACATAGTAAATATTTGATCAAAGCAAGCTGTGATAATCATTATTATGGCTTATGGGCAAGTGGGAGTTCGGTGTTGGCAAAATAAGGAAATGGTAAATGAAAGCCACGGAAAGTTACCCACCCCCTTGGTTTTTTACGGAGACTCTCTTGGTCTTTAGTATGTTGTTTGTCCCCTGTCCTCTTTCCTTATCAATGAGGACGTCTTTTTCCTTTCAGCACAGGCACTGTTTTTCTGGTTTAACCTGTTTTCACTCTCATGCTCTTCCCCTACCACCCAGCAGTCATGAGTCTTTAGGGTGTCAGAGCTTCTCATTACGGGTTGGTAACAGGTGATGCCATTTTTGTCTTGCAGGATGTGATCCGAGCCATGAATATCAATCCCAAGATTTCGTTCCCTCCTGAAGTTGACTTTTGCCTCCTCAGTGACTTTATCCGGGAGATATGTTGCATTGCCTTTTCGATGCAGACCTTAGAACCGCCCCTAGATATTGCATTTGGGGCCGATGGAGAACTTTTTAATGATTACAAGTAAGAGACACAGGAATAGAACTTAGGGGTGTCCTAGTGAATAAATTGTCTTCTCTGGTCCCTGAGAGCAATTTGGGGAAAAGAACTCTGGGTGGGAAAATCCATGGACACCGCCTGGTTTCCGGACCCCACTGTATACTTCTCTGTACTGCAGGACAGGGTTCTCCCCTGGGGCCACTTCCCAGTCACCATGTTGGTCTCTAGGGAGATCTAACAAGGGCCTGGAGCCTGTCTAGAACATTTTAAAGGAAAGGTGCTATATAAATACAAATGTTAATTACTTTTCACTGGTTTTTAATGCACTATTTAGGCCAAGTTTCTCAACGTAGGAAGTATGGCTCACCTATGTCAAAATTACTTGTTAAAAATGCACATCCCTGGACCACATTTCATGATATTGTATGTAGTAGGCCCTGCGTGGGGTGTAGGGATCTGCAGATTAACAAGCACCCCATGTTCTGTATTCACACGAACTTGAGAAAATGAATGCTCTTGATTCTTCCAAGACAGTGTTTTTCAATCTTTTTATACCTCATGGCACCCTTGAAGTTAAACTTCCATGGCACACTTAAATGATAATGATCCAAAAAAAAAAAAAAAAGAAAAAAAAAGAAAAGACTATACTTACTGTGTTTTGAACTTCTTTTGAAAATAATTGAATTAATAATGTTTAACATTTTTCACGGCACACCTAAGATCCTCTCAGGGCACACCAGTGTGCCACGGCACACTGGTTGAAAGTCACTGGTCTAGCACCATTAGACTGCTACCAAGTTTTTGCACAGTAAGTATTTCCCTTATAAATTAGAAGAAATTAAATTAATTTAAAACATTTTATTGGGATTTTATAGTATCTTAGGCTATGGCTATAGATTATCTGGGAAGAGGCCAAGCTAGTTGTCGAGAACACAGGCTCTGACCTCCAGCTGCCTAAGTTTCAAATTCTGGCTCTACCACTGAGTAGCTGTATAATCTTGGGCATGGTATTTAGTTTTTCTGTTCCTTAGTTTCTTCTCTGTCAAATGAGAGAAATAATAATGCCTACTTCCTCAGGCTATCGAGGGTTAGTTGAGAAAATTCAGATAAAGCAGTTGGGACACTGCTCAGGACACACTAGCTCAGGCCGTGGAGTTACAGGGAGGGGCTGCCCAGGGCTCCTGCCAGCTTCTTGATGAAGGACACCACACACTTTCTTTCAATGATGCAAATTTCCTGGTCGCCTTATGGCACGTCATAATTTGTTGCCCTATTTGTCCTTTTGTCCAGATGACTGCTGCAAACGTGTGCCCACTCACAGAAGGGCTGGGTCTCAGGACCGCACACCGCGGTGTGTCATCCCGACACCCTCCAGAACCTGTTGCCTTCATCTCTCTTCCTTACTCCTTTCTCCTTCAGAGCACAGATGGTACCACTCAGAACTACTCACCATTTTAGTTTATGGACTCTGCACATGTCACAGGCCTCCCTTGGGCCTCCCATTTACATGGGTTTAACCAAAGGGAATGTGCTGCTTCTGGGGCCGTCTGTGGCCGGTGCACTGGACGGCTGTGCGTTGGGATGGCTGACCCACAGCTGGAATTGAAGTTCCTAACAGTGATTGGAGTTCCTCCTGCTTCTGGGACCTCACAGATGAAGGCTAATGCCTTTTCACCTGGGCAGTCTTTCATACATTTGAA